AGAAGGAAGAGGGATAAACATTATTACTTTGACAGTATAAAAGTAAGTGGTAAATGTAGTATTGTATAAATTATTTCCAGATAGAAGTTAAAGAATGTTAACGAATAAATCACATAGGTGAACTTTAAAGAAACGTTACTCTGAGGTTCTAAGAACTGGTCCGAAGACAGATTTGGTTTACTAAGTTACGTGATTTTATAGCATAAAATATTTATCCTCTGGGAAACTTGGCACGAAGATATATGTAAAAAGACCATAGCTGGATGTCGTACCATTTTCGAAAGACAGTTGGTATATGTTAGCCTTAATTGCTCAAAACGACTTTTTCATACATTACACTACAGTTGCACGAAAATTCAGATATATCGGCTAAATCAGATCTGGCCAAAGCTGGGACCTTATCAAACTATTTCAGAGAAGCTTAAACTAACGTCATTGTTAACAATAATTGTTATGACAAAAGCTCAGAGATACCAGCTATAGAACCTGTGCTAGTTAATCCTATACTTAAGGATAGTCAGTGACAGATCGTATCTAACTACCGAGCTGTCAGTCTGACCAGCATAGTAGTTAATATACTTGAAAAGGCAATTTAAGTTAAGTTATTAAGTTACATGGAACCATTCAATCTGTTGACTCCCGAGCAACACGGGTTTCAAAACAAGAATTCACGCTCAACCAACTTAAATATTGCGAGCAAGGTTTGGACATAAGCCCTAACTAATTGCATGTCTGTCGATGTGACATTTACGGACATTAGCAAAGTATTCGAAAAGCTTTCTCATCTAGGTCTTGTAAAGAAACTCTCGAGCTTCAGAATAGCAGGTGCTGTACAAGAGTGGATAAACAACTTCTTATAGGGCTGAAGACAAGGGTGAGGGTAAATGGGACACTGTGTAAACGGAAGCCCGTTAAAAGTGGCACCATCTTTGGTCACCTACTTTTCATTCTCTACATCAATAAATTACTCTCGATTGCTTAATTCATCAACATTGTTATTTGCGGATGATGTCAAAATCTGGAAGACAATTAAGAATAAGGCTGGTTATTTTTCTCCCGAAGCTAACCTAGACTAACTAGTTAGGTGGTCCAAATGGTAGGGCCTAGAAACCAATTCAAGAAAGAGTGGGCTTATGCTCATTGAACACGAAAGTAGTAACCAGTATATTAATGACGGCACATCTCTTCCATGCGTGTAGGACCTCAAAGACTTATGGGTAATGGTAATTCATGACTTGTAAACAACTATGCATTGCAATGCAACAGCTGCCAAAGGTTTTGGTGTGTCATGGGATCAAAATTGTGGAAGGGTCTTTCGAAACTCTCTTAAGGGGAGTGCTTAAAACATCTAAAATTTTTCTTTTTATCGTTTTGTAGAACGTCAGGTGGCGTTTAATTACAACTTGGATGTTAATATTTCTTGTCTGTTTGCTCCATCCAGCACTAATAATCTTCGACAACATAACAAGAAGGTTCAAAACCCGTGATCTAATAAACGCAGAGTAGGATTCCGTTCTTCTCATTGTGTGGTCAATTACTCAAATGCCTTACCCAAACTAGTGATATTAGCCCCATCAATGAACGTCTTTAAAGAAAGGCTGAAACTTCATTAAAAGACAAACTGTAAGCATCAACACAGATCCACTAACCAAATGAAACTATTACTGAAGACTGAAAATAGAGCTAGACCGAAGCCAACAACCGCTACACGGCAATTGAAACAGCCGTGAAACATGACCCATGAGACTGAAAAAACCACGTTGTTGCAGATTCCGTAAAATATTTCATCTTAATATCTCAAGCAATGCAGTGTTCGTACGTCCTAAACTTGAGTACTGCATACAAGCGGCTAGCCCCTACTTAAAAAAGACAGTCAGCTTTTGGAATAGGTTCAGAGTACAGCAACTAAGCTGATTCCCGGAATAGCAAAGCTTCTGTATGATGCTTCACTGGCCAAGCTAAAACTATTCCCATTGTCATATCGTAGAACTAGAGGCGACTTGATCACAATTTTCAAATTGCTTAGTGATAAATTTGCACCTGCTATGCCCTCATTTCCCTTGTCTCCCAAAACAGATAATTTACGAAGACACTCCAAAAATGTTCACAAGCCCAGAACAAATTACTTGTCAGCTGACTATCGACTTTCCCATCGAATCATCAACGAGTGGAATTTACTAACTCAGCATGGGGTTGAGATTCTATCTGTCGACTCTTTCAAAAGAAAGTTGGATCGACTGAGAGACTACCATTTTCAGGACTGACACAGACCATCAAGTCTCTTGTTTTTTCCAAACTGAAACTGAAAAAAAACCCAAAATTGAGGGTTTATGAAGAAATATGAATAACTATGGTACTTTGTTCCAAATCACGAACTATCCGTAAATAGAGACGTGAACACGCATGCTTTTTATCAGTCGTGAAGCCATTTGTTGTTAATGAAATATATCAATTTCCATTCTAACAAAAGGTGCCTGATAACACATGTTATATAACACATATGCCCATATGGACATATGACCTCAAGAGCCTGTCGCTAACTATATGTAAACAAGCAAGATATCGATTTCATTTCTTTCATCTGAATTTCAAACTTTTTCACCAGGTATACGAAAATGACTCTTCCTTTTTTATTTGTATCTAGATTGTAAAAAATACTTGTCAGACACAAAAAAGTATATGGATATTGCGTAATACCACAATAAACAATAAAAACGAAAGAAATTACGGATTGAAACAAGAATGATTGGTGAGAAGCCAGTGGATGGGGTAAATTAAGTGACTAACCAGTTACCTCACAAGAAGTAACCACTTTCCGCGCAGACTGTTGTCCTTGGGTGACGCTGAAAAGTACCTACAAACATTTAATCAGCAGTTCAAATGGTTCAAATAGTTCAAATGGTTGTGGACGGAATAGAAGAAGCTTTCACTTAACAGGCTTCCGTGTCTAGTAGCAGGGGATCACCAAACCCTCCAGGCAGGAACCTAGGTATGTTAACAATAAAACAGGAAAAGAAATTGGTACATCATAATGTGATGCTGTCCTTGGTCCTTAAGAATAGGTCAAGTTGCCTCTTGAACGACTCCTGAGAAGTTGCTTGAACTAGCTCGGCCGGCAGCGAATTCCAGCTTTTGACAACTCTTAAGGAGTAGAAGTTGTGTCTACATTCCGTTTTGCTATGTTGTGTTTCCAGTTTCTGGGTGTTAACCCTTAGGTTATTATTCGAACTAAGCTTAAGTAGGTGTTTAAGAGGATGTCCAGAAGTGTTAAGAATATTATAAGCCATTATTAAATCACCTCTAAGATGCCTATATTCTAGTGGGTAAAGGTCTAGTGAACGGAGGCGTTCTTCGTAAGGCTTAGATTTGAGTCCTCGAACTGATTTCGTGGCTCGCCGTCGGATACGCTCCAAAGTGACCTTGTCCTTTTGGAATGAGCGGAGGAGTACTATGTTTCCGTACTCTAAATGGGGACGGATGAAACTATTGAAGATTGTAAGGAAAGTTCGTCCGTCAAACTGTCCGAAAATGCGCTTCAACGTTACCAGTGCAAGGTTTGCTCGGAAGGCATTTTTGTCACAGTTAGCGTAAGACTTTAAGTCATGGGGCATCAGGACTCCTAAATCCTTTTCGACTTGGGATACTACTAGAGAGGAGTTTCCTAAGTTGTAACTGTAGTCTGCGACATGTCGCAGATGGACTACTTTACACTTTGAAGTGTTAAAGGTAAGTCCGTTATCGTCTGCCCAACTTTGAAGTCGAGTCAGATCCTCCTGAAGTGCCTGTGTATCGACTTGGTTGCGTATATCTCTCCAAAGTTTCACGTCGTCGGCAAAAAGTGGTAAGTCTGACGTTACCTGTTGAGGAAGATCATTTATGTAGATCAAGAAGAGAAGAGGCCCTAGTACTGAGCCCTGGGGAACACCACTAGGACATTCCATAGCCTGAGATAAAGTGAAATTAACCCTAACCTTAAAGTGTCGATTTTTTAGGTATGAAGTAAGCCAATCGATTAGAGGTGGTTTGATACCCAATCGTTTAAGCTTGTTGATAAGACACAAGTGGTTAACCTTATCAAAAGCTTTTGAGAAATCAAGGTAAATGACATCAACCTTTCCCTTGCAATCGAGGATGCTTGTCCATCTGTCCACCGCAGTCAGCAGGTTGGTTATACAAGAGTAACCCTTCCTGAAACCATGCTGTTGGGGTGAGAAGAAATTTAAGGACAGTAGATAGTCATTTAAACCGTCGCATATCAGGGACTCCATGAGTTTTGAAGGTAATGACAGAAGAGCCACCGGCCGATAACTTGAAGGTTCATTGCGTCGACCACCTTTGAAAATTAATGTGATGTGAGCCAACTTCCAGTTTTCCGGTAATTTGCCTCGGCTAAGCGAGTGTGAAAACATCACGCTAAGCGGCGTTGCCAGGATTGAGGCTGCCTCCGTCAGTATGGCAGGATGAACCATATCCGGGCCAGGAGAAGTGTCAAGTCTTAAGTGCTGCAATTTCCGGAACACCAAGTCAGCACTTAGATTCACTTCGGAGAGTCCTGTGGAATTGCAGATGAAACTGTCGTCAATAAAGTTGATATCAGCCGGTTGAAATGTTTGAGAGTAATGTGCCGCCAGAAGGTTAGCGGCGTCGCCATCGTTGTTGGTCGGGCCGTTAAGACCTAGCAGTTGAGAAACTCCTGTTTTGGCTTGACGAAGTGAGGCTGCATAACGGAATAGGCTTCTAGGGTTAGAGGCGAATTTGTCCATAAGCTTTGTTTGGTACTGAAGCCTGTCTTCTCTTATAGCCTTTGTGCATATGTTCCTGATATGTTTGTATTGACTATACGCTCCATCGTTATTAGTTCGTTTGTGTTCCGCCCAACAGTGCCGTTTGCGGCTTAGCAGACGAAGGGTACGGTTCTTGATTACTGTAGGTGGCTTGCAGCTTTTGGGAACCGTTTGAGGAACTGAATGGTCTGTAGCACATAAGAGCGTGTGCAGTGAGAAGTCCCAATGACCATCCACATCGAGTTGAGGGTGAACATCCCAAACCACCTGTTGTAGATAGTCATGTAGAGCTGGCACATTCAGCCGTTTAAAATTCCAACGCGAATAATTGTTGGGATACCTTAGCTTAGTTTTGATGACAAAACTGAAGGCTATGACGGCATGATCGCTCTTTCTTAGAGGAGCCAGGATTGAGAGGTTGTCGACTAGGAATTCTTCGTTTGTGAATACACAGTCTAAGCGCGATAGTGTCTGACTGTTTCTCCAACGAGTTGCCGACCTCACATTTTCGTATAAGCCCAAGTTATCGATGAGGATGAAGAACCGAGCTTCAGTTGAGTTGTCGCCTCTAGTGTACGTGTGTTCCGCGAAGTTGACTCTAGGGAGATTAAAGTCCCCTAGAATCAGGATGTGTGTGAAACCGAGACGGATAGAGCAGGATAGTCCTTCCAGCATACGACTATCATACTCGGTGTCGGCAGTTGGCTTCCTGTAAATTACTCCGACTAGACACCAGGAAGTACTAGACAATCTTACAGAGCACCATATGGATTCCTCAAGATTGTTAAACTCGAGGTTGTGAATCTGGTGCACCTCCAAGCAAGAGCTTATGTATATGGCTACTCCGCCCCCAATTCCTGTTTTTCTGTCGTTGCGGAACAAAGTCATCCCAGGTAATGCTAACTCTTGGTCCGAGAACTAAGAAGATATCCAGGTTTCAGATATTCCTATCAGATTGGCCTTATTAGCGTTGCTAAGTTCACGTAGTTCATCCAGTTTGTTTGGTAGACTCACAGCGTTCATATATAAGCAGTTTATGCTTTCAATTTGGAAGGCGTGAGCTTCGTCCTGTTTTTCTGTATGAACCTTATGTGAATGGACAGGTAGCCCACCTATATGAGGTTTGCCGAGGTGGTAGGCCCTGTCCTTTACACGTTTTTTTATCGTTTAGACAGTCCACAAGTGGAATGGTCAGCTCCAACTTGTCTTTGTTCTTAGTCCTAACTTCGTATGGCCTATCCGGGTGCATGTGGATTCCAGGTGGCAATCGACGTCTATTAGCACGAAATGCTTCCAGAACTGCAGCCGCCATGTGGAAAGATGGGAAGGTTATCTTCATTAGACAGGGTCTAGAATGACCGTCCTTCTTGGCTAGTCTCGTCACATGCTGAGTCAGTATGTGTTTGAGCCTCAAGGACTGTTTGATGAATTTCCATTCCCTGATGTCAGAATTTGATTGAGTAGGGTCTGCATTTTCCGGTATACCTTGGACAATTATGTTTCTTCCGCGGAAAAACTTCTCGCGAGATTCTTTAGGGACGTTTCGTATGATACTGCGCTCAGAGTACGGTATGTCGGGCAGTATTCTTACGTTACCATCTGATTTCAGCAAGTGGCTTGCTAGCAAGACGTCCTCTACGTCGGTAGCAGCCTTAAGTGTTACTCGGAGAAGCCTCGGGTGATTTAGATGCTTAGAATCCTTTCCTCGAGTGAGCCGGGTGACCGTCAAAGGCTCTATTCTAGGAAGTTCGAGCTTCTTGTTCAATTCACCCCAGAGCATCCTGTCGTTTTTGTCCTGCAGACTGAGAGGAAGATCAGGATTGTCAACGAGGTTCATGATAATGAGAGAGTCGTCACGAACTGTTGTTAATTTACCAGGTTTCACGATGGGTTCAGGTTTAGTAACTTGTTGTTTGGAGGTCAGTGTGCGTTTATGAATCATGGGCTCTTTATTGACCGGATGAACAGTCTTGGGGGTAGACTGTGCGACTAAATTACCAGTTATTTTCCGTGCAGCAACACTTGGGTTGCTCGGCTTAGGCGGTGATGCCTGGTTCTTTTGGGCTCTCTTAACGTGGGTCAAATCACATGCAGGGTTTTTGGCAACCACTGTTGTGTTCGGGGACCCTGAGCTGGGAGACCCGAGTTTGCCTAGGGAGTTCAGTACCGTCGACGTAATGATGGTACTAAGCCTCGACACGTCGTCGTTAGTGTGGATGGATGCTCCATCGATGGAATACCTATCGACATCCCTGTTTTTGAGTCCGTTGCACGCTCTTGTTTGTATATCAGTTTTTTTACTATCGTTTTCCGAGTTAACTGACAACTTGTTCCGAAGACATGTCAGTAGGACAATGATGTTACTCAGCAAGACTACGGAGTCTGTGTTGCACGTGACACACACCCACTTTTGCTCTGACTTGCTGAGTCTGTTGTAAGCAGCTGCTGTCAGATCTGTGCATGCTTCGTGGAACCAACCTTTGCAGTTGTCGCACTGCATGCCAGTTGTGACAGCAAAACGGTATCTCGGACGTTTGCATGAGTTTTTCATGACGGTGTTGAAGCAAATTATGTTATAGATGCTTGCAAGAGCCTAAGACCTTTTTAAAAAACACACTAAAAAGCACACTGAAAACGGACAAAAATGGACAAAACGAGTGATATAAACTGAAACTAGTCTATACGTGAAAAACAAAAAAAACCGAATAGTAAGCTGAGGCAAAACCACAGGTAACTACTAAATATAGTGAAACTCAAAAAAGAGTAATCTACCGAACGTATAGCTCAGGATAGATTCTTTAGAACTGAAATGGTACTTTTGTTGCGTAAGAACACAGCAAAAGTTTGATAAACGCAAATCACGTTAGGACTAAACTTCCCGTTCGAAAAGCAGTAGTTCGGACAAGAACCCAAGTTATCAATCCTCACGTATGAGGACAGTAGGTTGATGGATCTATATTTGTCCCTTAACCTTAATTACTTATGAAAAGTACGCTTATCTTTGAAAGTGTTCATTGATGGGATTCAAATGGTTCAAATGGTTCAAATGGTTGTGGACGGAATAGAAGAAGCTTTCACTTAACAGGCTTCCGTGTCTAGTAGCAGGGGATCACCAAACCCTCCAGGCAGGAACCTAGGTATGTTAACAATAAAACAGGAAAAGAAATTAGTAAATCATAGTGCGATACTATCCTTAGTCCTTAAGAATAGGTCAAGTTGCCTCTTGAACGACTCCTGAGAAGTCGCTTGAACTAGCTCGGCCGGCAGCGAATTCCAGCTTTTGACAACTCTTAAGGAGTAGAAGTTGTGTCTACATTCCGTTTTGCTATGTTGTGTTTCCAGTTTCTGGGTGTTAACCCTTAGGTTATTATTCGAACTAAGCTTAAGTAGGTGTTTAAGAGGATGTCCAGAAGTGTTAAGAATACTATAAGCCATTAATAAATCACCTTTAAGACGCCTATACTCTAATGGGTAAAGGTCTAGTGAACGGAGGCGTTCTTCGTAAGGCTTAGATTTGAGTCCTCGAACTGATTTCGTGGCTCGCCGTTGGATACGCTCCAGGGTGTCCTTATCCTTTTGGAATGAGCGGAGGAGTACTATGTTTCCGTACTCTAAATGGGGACGGATGAAACTATTGAAGATTGTAAGGAAAGTTCGTCCGTCAAACTGTCCGAAAATGCGCTTCAACGTTACCAGTGCAAGGTTTGCTCGGAAGGCATTTTTGTCACAGTTAGCGTAAGACTTTAAGTCATGGGGCATCAGGACTCCTAAATCCTTTTCGACTTGGGATACTACTAGAGAGGAGTTTCCTAAGTTGTAACTGTAGTCTGCGACATGTCTCAGATGGACCACTTTACACTTTGAAGTGTTAAAGGTAAGTCCGTTATCGTCTGCCCAACTTTGAAGTCGAGTCAGATCCTCCTGAAGTGCCTGTGTATCGACTTGGTTGCGTATATCTCTCCAAAGTTTCACGTCGTCGGCAAAAAGTGGTAAGTCTGACGTTACCTGTTGAGGAAGATCATTTATGTAGATCAAGAAGAGAAGAGGCCCTAGTACTGAGCCCTGGGGGACTCCATGAGTTTTGAAGGTAATGACAGAAGAGCCACCGGCCGATAACTTGAAGGTTCATTGCGTCGACCTCCTCTGAAAATGCGTGTGATGTGAGCCAACTTCCAATTTTCCGGTAATTTGCCTCGGCTAAGCGAGTGTGAAAACATCACGCTAAGCGGCATTGCCAAGATTGAGGCTGCCTCCCTCAGTATGGTAGAATGAACCATATCCGGGCCAGGAGAAGTATCTAGTCTTAAGTGCTGCAATTTCCGGAACACCATGTCAGCGCTTAGATTCACTTCGGAAAGTCCTGTGGAATCGCAGATGAAACTGTCATCAGTAAAGTTAACGTCAGCCGGTTGAAATGTTGGAGAGTAATGTGTCATCAGAAGGTTAGCGGCTTCGTCATCGTTGTTGGTCGGGCCGTTAAGACCTAGCGGTTGAGAAACTCCTGTTTCGGCTTGACGAAGAGAGGCTGCATAGTGGAATAAGCTCATAGGATTGGAGGCAAATTTTTCCATAAGCTTTATCCAGTACTGGATCGTGTCTTCCCTTATAGCCTTCGTGCATATGTTCCTGATATGTTTGTATTGCCTATACGCTCCGTCGTTATCAGTTCGTTTGTATTACACCCATCGATGCCTTTTGCGGCTTAGCAGACGAAGGGTACGGTTCTTGATTACTGTAGGTGGCTTGCAGCTTTTGGGAACCGTTTGAGGAACTGAATGGTCTGTAGCACATAAGAGCGTGTGCAGTAAGAAGTCCCAATGACCGTCCACATCGAGTTGAGGGTGAACATCACAAACCATTTGTTGTAGATTGATGAGCATTGGTCTCAAATGGCAACTGATAGATATGTCCAAATCGAGTGTAATGTTTGCAAATGTCTTCACGAATCAATCAAAATCCATTCACATGCATCCATGGACCGTGTACGTGCTTCAGGTATGAAGCTGATACTCGAATAAAAACCCGGTGATTTAATGGGTTAGCGGCCTATGTTGTCTGCCTTTTAAGATAGACTTGGCGACCTCGACTTACTTCCACTACCATACCATAGACCCAAAAGTGATTGAATCCTGACTTGTCGTATGTTGTGTGAAGAATTTGACGGTGATTTAGTATTTTGTCATTTCATTTAGAACTAGTCAGTTAAGACATCATTCTGAGAAATTTGAAATTTGAATCGAATAGTTCCTTATTGAAGCACTGATATTTTTATGAGTTGTACCATGGAATACTTTATCGTAGACTATGTATTAACACTTTCTGTAGGTAAACTACAAACTGCACTAAGATTTCACATTACTAAAAGTCTGGAGGAATGAATCTAGCTGCTTCATTCATTTTTCTTAACTCAGAAGAAAAGAAACTGAAACAGAAACTTATAACAAGGATTTTCGTAACCTAATAAACATTTTTATTGCTAGTTTTCCTGAGTTGGTCGTTTTAATATCTATCTGGGCCTCATTTTACCGAGCGATAATCATGGAGTAGAGTAAAATGAAACGGATGGTTCGTAATGAAATAATTGAATCCAGTCGTTGGTAAGATTGTAGTAACGAGTCGAGTCGTTGCTGACTATGATCATCACTACGAGAAGGTTGCGTACCAGATATCAGAAGGCGATTGGAGGTTGTAGCGAGATATATTTGTTGGCGATTTCGTGATATCGAAGGAACACCGAGATCATTCCAAAGGAGTACAAGCGGAATCACTGAGAAAACGTAAGTTCGTGCAAGGTCACAATCAACAGGAGAATGTTTGTCTTTATACAGTTAAAAAAACAAGAACAGTAAAACAATCACTGGTACAATTGATTATATTAACAATTTTTTCCATTAAACCAATCGCATTCTCTTGATAAAAGTAGGTCACTACAAGATCACCAAGTTTGAATGCAATATATTCATGGAAGGTTAAAAAACGTCACTAATACACCTAGTTAGATGAAAACGGCAGACTTTATATTTTTTGTTGGTCACGTCATCCTCAAAAAGATGAAAAAGAGTCAAAACAGCCCCTTTTCTTAGATTTCTCATCTTTTGGCTTTCACCAAGGTCACTGTGATCCATTTGAACCATCTGAACTGTGCGAAATTATTTCGAATTTATGTATGACCTTGGTTTTCATGAGTTCCGTAGATGAGCAGTTTGTGTTTACCATTAGTTGATATTATGTTCTTCTCTATAGGAAATTTCCAGACCGGGGTTTTGAATCGCCAGAATACGTTGAGGACGATGAATATTCCGACTTTGTTCAGACTTATGAGTCAGTACTTCAAAGAAGAGTTTCTCGTTGGGAAAAGTATTTCTCTACCCTTCCACCCAAAAAGAGTGCAAGATGTATGTCATGAGTTATTTGACCTTATTGTTTTAGTTAAAAGGTTTTGTCGGAAGGGAATACCGGATCACATTCGCCCAACAGTTTGGATGCATCTTTCTGGAGCTTATGAACGAATGGAAGCTAATCCAGATGCCTACCAAATAGCTGTTTCCAAAGTACCCCCAACACATATTTGGAATGTTATCTTGGCTGGTATGTTTCTGCCCATATCTCAAGACTGATGTAGAAATTGTTTATATTTGAGCTTCGTTATGTAATTTCTGCATTCAGTAATTTAGTTGTATATCAACCACAACATTACAATCAAGGTTTATAGTAGTGTTTTTTCGGTTTTGTTCTGTACAAACTGGACTCGATGAATGTGTTTCTTAACCCTCCACTGTTAGTACCTTAAACATTAACTGTGTTTATGGAGGCGAATATACTGTTGCGAATATCAACAACATCTATCATACACAGTTTTCGATTCGTCAGTTCTAAAGCTATTTTGGAATAACCTAGTGTAGCCAATCACTGTGTTTTAATCCTTTTTTATTCGGAAGAATCGCTATTTTATTTCTGTTTGTTGCAACCAGCCGTTTAATTTACAACTCGTAGTCTTGTAACCGTTTACAATAACCTTTACAGTTTAACTTAGGCGAACTGCAACATTCAGTTATTGGGTTTTACATCTAAGAAACTTTATATCATTTGGACTACGAAGTTTATTGGTATCTGTAAGAATATAGTACAGTAATCTGTCGGTCTGGGTTGTAACTTAAACGTAGTATTAAAAGAGGACACTTAAAAGGAATAATAAAATAGCTGGAAACAATAATAACAGTGATGGGCACCACTCGTTTGAGAAAGTCAAAATAATAAGAAAAAGTCACATTTGAAGTCGGGTAACTTTACGAAATTTAACGAGAAAATAAAGTAAATACATCGGTTTACAAACTGCAAGGCTTAAAAAATTTGTTGAAATATACTTCATTTCGTTCTTTATTAACTGGTTCTGAACTCAAGATGTTTCGTTTCATACATACGATTTTCTCGCTTTTTTCCAGATGTTCCCCGTACCTTTCCAGAAAACAAACATTTTCAAGATCCAGATGGCCCCAGTAGTAAGCTGGTATCGTTAAAAAGAGTATTGTCTGCCTTTGCAGTTCATTTTCCAAAGATCGGTTATTGCCAAGTACGTTTCTTGTAACGATTTCTATTAGCTATTTCATTAGTTTACTTTTCGTATACTTATTAATACTTCCAGATTCCCCATGATCCTACTAATGATCACTCTCGGATGTATTGGTATTATTTGCAGTGTTAGCAAACAGTCTAAAAGTGAGACGACGCATCAGTTTACGAAATCGTGTTATTTAGTCATTAATAGATAACTGATAATCCAAATTAATGCACTACTCAGTCTGCTGACGATAGATGTTCTTAATAAAATTTTAGACATATGTGGTAAGATTGTTAAATACTGAATTCGATGAAGAAAAACACAAAGATGAAATCTTGTTACAAAATTGTCTATATTTTATTACCAAGTTCTTTTACTTTTCCGAAAACATATCTCGTGTTCACCTAGCTTCTAATTTGTTACGGCCAATCAAAGTTTACTGAAATTGTGTGTATCACACGCATCCACGTATCATTCTGGTATTTGAATGTTTAGGGCATGAATAAGTTGCCGGTATTTGACCATAAACTTTAACATATTAACCCTTGTATCGTAGAATAACGGAGTGAGAAATGTTGACGTTAGTCGTAGGGTAGTAGGTAGAGATGGCACGTTGTCATATGAGAGCATTTCGAGAGGGAGAGTTGACTCTCCTCACTCTCGGCCTTACCATTTAGGAGCCAAAATTATTTTCATTTAGATCAGGGTTTAATCCAATGGACTGTAATATTTGTACGCATATGAAAATCCTAAAGCAAGCAAGACAGTTTATTGGTCAATTATGACAGCGAAATAAATTTCACACTTTCGTTTCTTTGCCTTGGATCTTTTTAATTTCATCTCACTGTATTCATGTGTTGTGGAGAATTTTGTTGATGAATATTTCTGGTAGTTTTTACTTTGTTTATAGCTGACTGACTATACACATACAATTCCCCATGGTTAAGGTAGATTTTGTTGTGTTTGACCTTTCATGGTGAACTACTGAGTGGTTGAGTATTTTGGGTAGCGCTAAATAATAAGAGAATTTGCAATTGTATAAATTGACTCAACTTTGTCTGATACATAACTCAATCTCTAGTAGATTAGGTAAATAAAGATGCCAAAAATAGAAATATGATATGATTACTGGTTTGTTTGTTTATACAATAATTCAAATTGAGTTACAAACCTACAAACATCCTGCCAACATATATTTCACTTTGCTTTACTAGTTTACAAATGGATATAATAGCTTATATTTAATTGAAGTACTTCCGAAATTTCATCATAAGAAAACAAGCAATACAGTATTTAGAGCAATTATTCCGTTTTATAAATTTCGATAGAAAAATGAGAAGATAGAGTTGATCTGAAACAGTTTGATGTGAGAACTCCCGTATACTTAAACATAGAATATAGATAAATAAAATAATATATTTGTAATATACCAATTGGTAGAAAAATGAGATTTTCTGACGTTTTGTGACTTAGTGTAAGCCACTTCTTCAGAGAATAAATAACCAAATAAAAATTAATCCACGTTTAAATAGTACAAAGGAACAACGCAATAATATTATGTGCGATCAATCAAAAGACAGGTCTGAACAAGTCGATGTTATGTCATTCCGGTCAAAGTGATTTATAAGCGACATGTGTGCAAGGTCATGGATGAAAAAGATGTGACCTTTTTGATAAGAAAGGATAGAGTTTAATTTGTATGTCCGATAATAGTGTGAAATGTGAATAATATCAGACATGGTAGCTTGGATAGATATTCCCAGTCGAATGGATAGTGAGGCCTTCTTTTCTATTGAGCGCAGTCAGTCAGTAACAACGTAGAACCTCTTACGTACGTACATCAGTTCGAGTTGCCACACCACATTAGCACAGAGATGCAGTTATCGATTCAAATCCCGTAGTGGTAGAGGTAGCAAGAGTATAAGCAGTAATCGGGAAGATTAGGGTTTAGAGATGTTATTTAAAGAGTATAATCCAGTAAAATAAATTTGAAAAGAGGAAAAAAGGGACATGAAGGATTCAGAAGATTAGAATTTGGGAGATCACAAAGACTGGATGCACCTGCACCATTGCAAACGATTTTGAGCCATGTCATTCAGGGTCTCTAACCATCGGTTGCTATCATCTCGTGGTCCCCAACCAGGTAGTCTACACCCACCAACATGACTCAGTCCACTTGTCAGTGACTTCATGGACTTGTGCCATGTTTTGGTTTGGCCGCCTCTAGCTTTCTTCCAACCTACTCCTATACCACTGAACATAGCACGTCGTGGTAGTCGGTCGTTATATGTTGGCTGGATGTTTGTAGGTTTGTAACTCAATTTGAATTATTGTATAAACAAACAAACAAAGCAAAATAATGTGCAAATTGCTTTTAATTATAACAGACACTACTTTCTTAAGATCCCTTTCTAAACTACTGGTAGATTTAAACTGCAGATACATATAAATTAGTTTTTAATTAATTCTAGGAATTATCGTTTTCTCGTTTAGTTCCTTTTTTCTAGAAGTCTATGTGTATTTGAAATCTTTTTACAGCAATGAACGGTTTCTCTTTTGATACACGTACACATATATCCCGATTTATTACCCTATTCTTGTTTTCACTTGTAAATCTAAGGTTTAACGTGCCTTTAAAATCTAACCAGTCACCAGTGATATATTTAATTTTCTACAAACTAGGAATGTATTATGTATTTAAAATTGTCTCTGAGTCATAGAGTCATGTATTAATCATAAGTAGACTATGGTATTTTCTAATACAACAGATGCCACATTAAATGAAATTATAAATATAATTTGAAGACTATGTCATTTTCATTTGCTTCTACTTCTTCACTTTCTCTCTTCCATTTGTATTTCTTTTTTAAAATAGGGTATGAATTATATAGCAGCTGTACTCCTACTCGTTCTTGATTGTCCACCAAATGAGAGAGAAGTAAAAGCGTTTTGGTTGTTGGATGCATTGATTAATCACATTTTACCAAAATACTATTCTTCTGATATGTTAGCTGTACGTGTTGACTGTATGGTATTCAATCAGTTGTTGAAGTAAGTAAAAAGAATTGTGTTGGCCAGTTCCTTGAATTTTTCCTCTTTTTCGACATGCATCTGGCGAAGTTATCAGAAATGTGATGGTCTAGAAAATCCTTATCAAACTATTAGTATTGGGCGGTTAACTGATTGCTATGAAAGAAAAAACAAAGCGAATTATGCCCTACTTAGTTAATTGTCTTGTGGGCAGTTGTATAGAAATGATTTTCTCAATACCAAGAATTCACGTCCATTCGAAAGCCTTTGAAATACTGTCTCATCCTGGCCTATCATCTTGACACGAAAAAGATATGTTAATAAAAACCTGTCTGTAAAACCAAATTTTATGCGTTTTTGTACATTCTGAATGAAACAAAACAGTCAAGGTAAACATGACTATTGATTACTGTAATTAATGAGTCATAAACATCTGATAAGAAGTATTATTTCGAGAAATGCATTTTTTAGATACTATCCTCTAGTAGGTAAAACAATAAAGTTAACCGTATTACTAAACAGAGATGGATGGTGGCTAACAATGGAACCCCAGCACTGACGTCTCATTCTATTTGCTACCTATCAGCCGGATGTACCTGCATCACAACATTGATGCTCACCCTGGGACTCCAGCCCTGTATACTTAGCCTAAAAGCATATCGCGTTATCCACTTAGTAGTTGCTGAGTCCAGATAGCTACTGGCATGTGAAATGTGGTAAATTTTAATTCATATATTAGTTGTTTGGACCTTCTGATTGATCTGTCTATTATTGGCGTATGTACATCCTGTGCCGATCGTCTCAATATTGTCAGTAGGTCACAAACATTTTAAGCAGAGATCGATGGAGTGAACATCACTGCTTAAAATGTTTATGACTTACTGACAATATCGATATAATCCGCACAGGATATACATATGCTAATAATAGACAGATCAATCGCAATCCTAAACATCAATCACAAGATTCAAACAACTAATATATGTGAATTAAAATGAGCTGTGTTACTGTTTCACTTCATTAGGGCATCGAAATGCAGTATTGGAAGGAATAAAACAAAAGTTAATAAACTAATAATTCCATTATGTTGGTTAAAAATACAAAGTTATGAAGCAAAATTAACTCGAAGAGGTCATGTTTCATAAATGTTTGGTAGAGTTTCTATCTGTAGATCCATTGGACACTGAATGCTCTACTGTCATAAATATAATGATAACATTAAAACGATTATAGACTAGTATATGTTATATATTGGTTTTAATTATTCAAAGATCAATTTCGCTTGTCACACTAGTAGTTATGGTAAGAACCAATGGGAAGTAAGAAATCGCTTAACAGTTGTTTTAAATCAGTCAGTAAACAGTGGTATCAATTATTGGTATAGATCAACTCATACATTTTCCCGTTTACTACTTCAATTTACTTTAATCTGTAACACAAAAAATACTTAATAATCCAAGCCCTTGATTTGTTATTCGTGAAGTAATAAGATCCAGTTCAATTTCTCTAACCACAGTGTATAAAGAAGTTAGGTAGTTTCATTAGCTTGCCCATTTTTAGATTGTCCTCTAAAACCCTATTTATAAATCTGCATTAGTTTGATGTGTTATTATTTATTTAGTTCAGTGCATTCATTCGAAATGACCCGATACTGTAAACATTACTCCATTCTAAGAAAGCTTGGATTTTGTTGTATGAATTCATCTAAGACTGTCTCTCTCTTCAGTTAGCTCGCTACATTAGGCAGGATAGTTTTAGTATATGTATTAAGTACCTTAACTATTATGACTAAAGATTTGTGAATTCCATTATCATGACTGCTTTTGATATCATGTCACTGGCTAAAGTGTTCTGTATTTATTTATTTAAACACATAAACATTGGTACCATGAGGCACCAAATAGATATGCGCCACATAGATCATTCTATTTGTGCGAGGGCTAGGATATTGCCCGAGTGCCCACACTGAGACAGATGGTTTTCTTAGAGGGCCACACCCGAAGCCCTAGACCTAAATGTCTAATCCACAAGACAATAGAGCAACGTAAGGAGATGCAGTCCTATGGTATCCGGTGAACAACAGTTGGTTCACACGCCCTTTTTTACCTCAGGATCCAGGAGCCCATGTGCACCATTGGTTTGGAACGAGGGTTTTCCAAGCCCCCCAGGTGGATCCTCCGTTTCCACCAACCCGGTTAAAGCGCCGGACATTCACTTTTCGTCATTTCAATTTCGTAAACAATAGCGTGGCCGCGAGAAGGCATTGAGTAGGACTTCCTTGTCAGTGGTTGTATGCACATTGCCATGTGAGAGCGTTTCGATAAGGAGAGTTGACTCTCCCCACTCTCGGCCGTACCAGGACATTTGGGGGCGCTAATATGTTCTCTGTAATGTGTATATGTTAGATTCCAATTGTTAAACAACTCATTATATTTACTATTAATACATGATTGGTTAATCATAAATTTTTTATAGCTTTCTTTTATGTATACATTCTTTTCTTTATGTAGAGATAAAATTCCCACAGTTCATAAAATAATCATGAATTCAGGTATCACTTGTACATTACTTGCAACAAAATGGTTTATATGCTTATTTGCTGATGTATTGCCAATTGAGGTAATGTAGTAATATTTATTTATCATTGAGTGTTATTAAACATGTTTTTTGGTCTATTGTTCACAAGATTCTACTTATGATTATATAAATATACCTATATTGTTTATCACTTTTCAATCGAAACTAATAGTAATTGAATATCCTCAGATTATCAAATGATTTTGTTGATCAAATCTCAAAGTGATTGGAACCTGCCATCATCTCTTGATTTTCACAACTCATTTATCACTGGGTGGTGATCAATGTCATGTTTTAGGTCCTTCTTAGTGCAGACCGAATGTTATCGACCATCATTACATCAAATGCTGTTTCATTAGTAGCATCGTCTTTTTAGTTTGTAAGGTGTTTTTATTGAACCGTAAAAAAATTATAGAAAGCATAATTTGAAATTTCTATCGACATATTATTGTTCAGTCTTTTGGAAAAAAAGCAAATTGAATAGGTATAATTACATTGATCATTGTGTTTGAAGATGTGAATCTAAATTCTATATACGTTTATAGTCGTTTAGTGTTTATTTCCTAAATAATAAATAGATATTGTGTACTAGATGCATATATTTCGACAAAGTACAACTTTAGTGTTTTTTTAAGGTCACAGGTATACTTTATTGTCCATTATCATTTTGGGTAAGCACAGTAAACAAGAGGTTCATATCCATTATATATCTGATAATCAAAAACAAATAATAAAGTCTACTAAGACATTGTTCAGCAGTTATATTAACTTATTTGTTCTTTAACTCCATTGGAGACTGGAAATTGAACAAAACAACACTGATTTTCACTTAGTAACCGGTCTATATGTTTTACTCTGAGTTTAAACATATCCCAACAGTAAAATTACAACTCACAAATCATTTACTGGTTCTTGTATTCAACTTGTTTTATATCAGAATTAGCAATACTGTCTGATTCATTAAGCTGAAATAAAAAAGGATCCCCAACAGTGGTTATTCCCAATGATCTAACCTAAGGTTTTTAGTTCTCATGACAAGTGGCTCGATTTCTGGCTAGATCATTAATGATCATTCTCGAGTTCGGTACGAAAATGAAAAATCTATCCATCGATCCCTAGCTTCCAGTCGTCCTCTGTTTGATCATGTAGAGCGGTGGCTTAGTGGTTAAAGCGTTCGACTTTCATCCACTAAGTCTTACGTTCGAGGCCCACTCCATCTACTTCGGTTTGGGCAGCTGGGTATTATCATTAGCTCTCATGCATAGGATATGGCTCATACCCCAGTACCTACAGAATGAGTTAATTTAAATTTAAATAAAATGTGAAATTCGCTCGTGATGGAAATCAGCTATAAACTGAAATAGTCTCTAAGAACAATCTCGACAAATTAGTTGTATTCGGATCTGTCAAACTGACAGAAAACTAGTTTCGTTAATCCTTATGCCTGTGTCTAACATTCTAACACATCCTTTTGAATTATATATATATATATATATATATATATATATATATCCTTGGGTGGTATTCATGTTTATGAGCGACCATTTAGTGTACAGTTTAGCCTTATTTCATTTCTCCCATCATTGTCACGCTCAATTTTAGTTCAATAAATGTATCTATGGATTAATTCATGCTACACTTCAAAATACCGTTCGAAATTCGTATGACTTTCGATACAAGTTGGTACAAACTAAACAACAATCTAAATTTATTGATCAGTGAATAAACCTTTTTTTAATTTCGAAATAGGATTTTCTAACTCTTTTAATCAGGTTTCCGATTAGCGGATTAATTATTAAAACACTTGCCTTTCGATTAAGAAATCTCTGATTTTTAAGCGTCACTCTATTTCAGTAGCCTGGGTAATATTACTAATCCCTGCACAATGTGGCTCAAAATCAAGCACTTAAACTTGGGCCTGTTGAATGGTTGGTTTACTGACGTACATGCTAAATACAGATTCCTATACTTAGTTTTGAGCCACACTTTAGTTGCGTGAGGAGACTGTAGATTCGAAATATACAGCTGAGTTTAAACCTGTGACCAACGTGTAAACCATTGGGCACCGTCGTAGTGGTTTCAACGCTAAGCACTCGTCATGAGACCGAATGGTTCCGCGTTCGAACCCTGATGGAATCATGAATGCTAACTTCCGAGGAGTCCCATAGTAAGACAAAACAGCTATCCAGCGCTTTCTTGTTTTCTTTGGTTACTGAATGAAGTTCGTCAGCCCATGATATAAGCTACATAACTGGACGGTAGTTTGCAACTGATCAGCTGTATTCATTACTAAGGACTCCTGGACCACAAAATAAAATGGCTGTCCAGTTGCTCCTGGTTTTAACTGTTAGTCCTTGATAAAGATTCCTTGATTTTGTTGTTAACCCTTGTATATCTTAATTGATGGTAATGGCTTACATAGTCAGCATTTTCACAACAAGTATACGCCTTTCATCGCTCTCATACACCGTGGGTTTGTTCAAAGCAATCCTTGCGTTTTTTGGAACAACTGAGTGAACAGTGTTGAAGTTAGGCATAGGATACTAGAAAAAGGTAGTAAATTGGTTGATTGGTTGCGGTTCGCGTGATAACCTTGGTCAGTTGTTGGAGACTCTGAAGGCACGACTCAGAATCGCCGGAAATGGCACATGCGTTTTGCCCTTTGTCCTCTTGATCTTGTATTTTAGTATTCCTTTTATACATACCTTTATATATTGTCTTTTTGAAATATATTCTTAATTTTTTCCATTGTCATTAGTATTACATTATTTCGATCCACTATCCTATTCATCCTGTTAATTTTACATCGTCATGCTAATATATTATGGCAACTATCTCTAGCTCTATGATGATGACTATCTGACATGCCATTAAAACTCGTATTTCCAAAAAAGTATGTCTTTCTCTGATATTATAAGGAGTTTAAATACTATTCCAAACCTTAAATGTTAATGTTAATGACTTCATTTTGAGCTATTCAGCTAATACTTGTCGGCTAACTAAAGAGGTGAATCTAAGTAGCGTTGTAAAAACGGTACTGTTTACCAGTTTCTTCATCGAAACAATTCAGATTTGGAAACACGTGTTGTATAGTGATTAGCTTAATGGCCTGGTATTTCTATTCTGCTTCACCTAATTTGCTCAAGACACTTTTATAGTATACTGATCGGTCGCTTGGTAATAATATCCCATGTACTTGATGCTGACTAAATTCTATGGACCAAATTTGATATGTGGTGATCAAGCTAACTGACTTCATTTAATTTGATGTTAGGTTTTTGAATATGATCGTTAGATCATCCGTGACCTTAAATGCCTCAGACATTCTCATCTTACTGATGAGTGTAGACATGCTTAATAAAACCCATATTTAACATTGCTCCCTGTTGAATTCAATACTCAGTTAATCTTCTTTGGTATACCAAAAAGTTATTTTCGTTTCTACTATTCTTTATACACCATAGACAACAATTCGTGTTTTCGACTGTTTATTCTATGAAGGGGATAAAGTACTCTTTCGTGTATGTCTATCATTGGTCAGATTACATTATAAAGATTTAATTCAATGCAATGAATTTCCTATCCTGATTACAGCATTTCGTAACATGTGCAAAGATAAACAAACACTATACTGTCACCAGTTTATTGAAGTAAGTTAATGTTTGTTTACATTTATTTTCTGGATACTCCCTCATTGTTGTTGAAAGCAAACCTTGAAGAATCTATAAAATCTGACGTCTTAAGTGACCTCATAAACACAGAATACACGTATAAATGTCTTTAATTATAATATTTCCATAGACCATTTTCAAATTAAATTAACATTTGGTTAGACTATTTTCAACATTAACTACGATACTTTGTCAATTATATAAGTGCCACTTGTTTTCCATTAGTTCATCGTCAGTCAGTTACAACGTAGGACCAGTCCAAGTTGTCATACCTCATTAGCACAGCAAGATGAACACCGGATTCATAGAAGCAGTTAACTCAATAGTGCAATATATAAAGGAAAGATTTCATTTAAGGAAATAATACAGAAAGAAAGAATTAGTTCGTAGAAAGATATGAAATAATTTTAATCTCATAATTTAAAGGAAGACAGCGTGTTCACACCTACATCATTGTGGTCGATTTTGAGTCGTGTCACCCAGAGTCCAACTATTGGTTAGGATGGTCACGCGAACCCCAACCAAGTTGTCTGCATCTACCAACATGGCTCAAACCAGAAGTTAGTTACTTTACTTCAACGACTGATGCCACGTTTTGGTTTGGCCGCCCCTAACTTTCTTCCAACTATCCGCAACACTAGTCAGCATTGCATACGTAACACGTTTCCCAACCATCTCAGTCTATGAAGATTCACAACCTCATCGACTGATTTGTCATCATTCCTTAATACCTTGTGTCAAACCTAACTATTACTTACCCGGTGATCCCAGCAGATGCCAGCAATATTTCTAAGGTATCTGTGGTCAAATACTAGTAACGAGTATCTTCTACTCTTAATGGCTACGTTTCGCAGCCGTAAAGTAGAACAGAGCGAACTGCTGCTCAGTATAGTTCATTGTAATATACAATTATTTTGCTCGTAATATTCATTCTGTATACACATCTATGCAAATTAGTCTAAAAATCAAATATTTTACGTGAAAAAAAGTTTCCAGATCATTTCAGTCAATCACTAACGGAATTTAATCAATCTGCTATGGTTTTTAAGCATCTATCCAGGTTGTTTTCAGCTTGCAGATCTATTAGTTCGAATCTTTTTTTTAAAAAAACACAACATGATTGGTTGCCTTAATGTCGTAAAACATATTGCAGCCTTTTATTAATCTGTTTCCAATGCTTTTAAACTTTCAAAATGTCATGCAAATCTATTTTCTATCACTTAAATCTGACAACTATATTTCTGATTATATTCTAGTGTAATCAGTTATATTATTTTATGTTGTGAAATGACTATATCTATATCCTTCATTCTGTTTAGACGACAGACTGTGTTGGATTTTAAACTCCGTTTTTTTATTTATTTATTTATTCATTTGAACACATAAATATTGGTACAATGGGGCACCAAATACATATGCGCCACACAAATCTCATTTGATTTGTCTGATGGCTGTGATGCTGCCCGGGTGCCCAAACCGAAGTAGGTGATTTCCTCAGGGGGCCACGCCTGGAGCCTTTGAATTTAGGGTCTGATGCACAAGGCAGTGGAGTAACGTAACGAGATGCAGTCCTATGTTAGCCGGTGACCAACATTAGGTTCATATGCCATTTATTTACTTAGAATCCTGTAGCTCATGTGCACCATTGGTTTGGAATCAGGGTATTCCAACTCCCCTAGGTGGACTCTGCATATCTACCAACCCGGTTGAAGTGCCAGACATTCTCTTTTCATCCTCTCAATTTCGTAAGCAACATCCCTGCCACGAGAAGGCAAGTAGTAGAACTTCTCTGACAGAGGTTATATACGCATGGCCATGTGAGAACATTTCGAGATGGAGAACGGACTCTCCCCACTCTCGGTCGTACCAGGGCATTTGGGGGCCCGTTTTTCTACGACTGTGACACATAGTACTCATGTTTCTGTAATATCAATTCAAGGTATCATACTTTTCATGCATAGAATGTAAAAAAAATCTCTCAGGTCATAGTTTTACCGTCTCGAATAGTCGGTGTATTTACTAACTCTGATTGATATTTTTATTATGTAAGTAAACTGGTGAATCGATATAGTTCAGAAATAGCGTCAATTTTTAAATAATACTCACTTTTTGTATTTTACTTTAACTGATAAATGATACTGACACTTGATTGCCGTTTATGGGGTATTTTAGATCAGAGATAAATTAGTTATTTATTTGAACACATAAATATTGGTACAAGGGGGCATCAAATTTATACGCACCACAGAAAACAATGAGAATGGGAAGAGAAAAAAGAAGGTGAGATGCGTATAAAAAAAAGAAGAACAATAACGACCACTCATCAGTGTATAGAAGTGTAGTAATAGTGATAGTAATGGGGGAAACGGAGAAGTACAACCAGAAAGAATCCCTTCAGTTAGGGAAGTTACAATCACTTTTTATGAGGAAAGTAAAAGTTACAGCAGGATCGCCACTGGCTTCTATTCTGAGCCATATCTGATAACGTCTCTAGCCACTGTGTAGCACCATCTCTAGGACTCCAGCCAGGGAGTCGTGAAGGACCAACAGAAGCCAGTCCTTTAAAGCTTTCTTTCATGCCACAACACCATGTCATGCACTGACCACTTCTCCACTCCTTCCAACCAGTCCCAGAGTCGGCAAATAATGCACGACGTGGAATTCTCTGGGACGACATTCGTAGAACATGTCCAAGCCACCGAAGTCAGTGTTTCAAGATGGTGACACCAATTGAATTATCGTCTCTGCTCACTATTACTTATCAAGGTGTTATGTGTCTTTATAAGAATTAATACTTTTCTACTCCTAAGATTTATTGTTGTTAAGTCATTGTGAGAAAAATAATCAAGATAAATCTGTAAATAATGACAGCACAGTCGTTGGTAACAAACAACCAAAAGTCAATGTAACAATCCAACTGTTTAAACCATAACTGGTGAAATCTTCCCATGAATAACATCTACCCTACCGTTTCAGTCAATCATCATTAACCAAGAGCTTGGTATAAATGTACATTAATCTAAGTTGTCATATCGTATTGTGACAACGAGATAAAATTAATAAAATAAATCTCAGTAGTCAAAATAATCATAGTAACAGTGAATCATCACTAAATTGACTACATCATAGAATCATTAGCTTATTGATAAACATCTTTGGATCTTTTATTATTCTTTTACAAATTCTAAATTATTTTAATTCATCTAGCGCATACAGAATTATGTACTAAGGTTTGATTCATACTTTGTTTAAGGACCGACGATACTAGATAGATTGGAATTTAAACTTACAATCTACTGGTTAGAAATCAAAATAACCTAATCACTAAGCCTCAGTCAATTCAGCTTTAAAACTTGATTGATTTAACATTGTTTCAGATAACAAGATAATATCACTAAGTGCCTTCAAAATATACAAAGTGTATAACTGAAAGTTAGACTACATGAGCTTGTTGATTTGTATTGAATTATCCAATAATTCATCAACCTAATTATTGTATTGTTCAGATTCATTTTATCATATGCCACTGAAAGTTTCATTGAATTGTTTACATCATTCTGATAAACACACAGTCAATATAATAAGACTATGGTATATAATAAATAAAATGAATGTCAATTCAGTTGATGTAAACAGATTTTTATGAAGAGATCGCTACATTCTTTTCTAGTCATTGATTACTTAATAGTCGGGTATATGTTCACTTATCTCTGTTTATCAACTTTCTAGCGAGATTAGAAATTTTGTCGGTTTAATTTATCACAATGAGAAGAGGATATATTTTGCTAAGATTTGACAAATTACCGATTACTTACCATTTAACCTTTAAACAGCCGTGCTACTATGATATCGTGTTTTATGAAATTGAGAGGATGAGAAGCGAATGTCCGACTCTTCAACCGGGTTGGTGGATATGGAGGACACACCTAAGGGAGTTGGAATACCCTGATTCCAAACCAATGGTGCTCATGGGCTTCAGGATCTCAAGGAAACAAATGGCGTATGAACCTATTGTTGTTCACCGGCTGCCATGGGAGTGCATCCTCTAACGTTGTTCCACTGTCTTTTGGATTACACCTTCAAATCGAAGGTTTCAGGCGTGGCTTCCTAAGAAAACTACCTGCTTCGGTCTGGGCACCACACAAAATCAACTGACTTGTGTGGCGCATATGTATTCGTACCCCTATGTACCGATGTGTTCAAATAAATAAATAATAAATAATTTTTTTTAGAAGAACGACTGTGATTTTCATCGATCATACTGTTGATCAGTTGATTTCTCAAATGATTCTTAACACAATTTAAATTCTTGTCCAGTAGGGAATGATGGATGTTTGTAGGCTAGAATCTACATATTTGAAACATTAGATTGTGATTTCCTACTCTAAATCATTTGCCGAGTACATAACTTAAAGTTATACTTTAAGTAGGAAGGTTTCTGCAACTGTAGTTAGTGGAGTTGAGTTCGAACTGACAACGTAACATTTAATAGTTGAGTAGTTTTAATCAATATGTCTGTTTATTATTTATTTAGTACATACAAAATTTGATAAAACTGGGCACTAAAAGAAATATGCACCACACAAATTAAAAATAAAAGAATCATGAAGGAATAGAAGAAGGAGTATCATCAAGAACAGATAAATGAATAAAAATAGTGGGAAAAGAATCATATTATTAAGAGCAGTTCAGTTAAAATAAAAACAAATTTATTTTCAGTAAGGCTAGTTCCTTAATGTTTTGTCAATGATACTGAGGAACATTACAACCAAATCGCCATTTATTCCTATTCTAAGCACTGTTTAATAACTTGTTGATCCACTGAGTTCCAGCATCTCTAGAACTCAAATTAGGCAGTCCTGTACAGCCTTCTTTCATGCCACGATATCATAACATAAACTGACCACATCTTCACTTTTTCAACCTCTTGCAATATAGAATTAGCTGAAATGACATTCGCAACCCACGTCCAAGCCATCAAAGTCAATGTTTTAGTGTGGTGATAGCCATCATCAATGATCCTAGACACATATTGCCAAACGTCAGTTTTACTAATGCAGTGTTGCCAATGGATGTCAGCAATCGTTTGGCGACAACATTTTTCAAACACACAGAGACCCTGAGAGGCCAAATTTCTTCATATTAGAGTGGAATCGCCCTCACCAAAGCGTTGTAGACCCTACATTTTACAGTTAGACTAACATCGTGGACGGTGCCAAATATAGTCCAGATTGGGATAAGCTACTCTGGTTTTTACCATACGTAGATTGATCCCATCAGTGAGGCCACAACCAAATTACTAAGATACACTAACGTTTCGACTATTTCTAACACATCACAAGGGGTATCACTAAATTAACATTCCAGGTTTGATAATCTGTTGATGAACATTACATAGTGGTCATCCTATACATCAACATAATCATTCACGTAATATAATTAATTTCCCATAGTTTCCGCATGAACTTGTCACCATGTGCCTCCAGTATATAATTTCGATAAACAGTTTATGATTATGATAAAGCTGACGTTGTCTACATGCGTCCACTTGTATGAAAACAGTTGTGTTAAAGTTTAAATAGACGATTATAAGAATAAACTCTTTCGACTTTTCAGTTGCTTTCTTCTTACTTCAAAAGTGGTTAACATCAACTTACTTACGCCTGTTACTCCTCGTGAAGGAGCATATGTGGCTCACCAGCATTCTCCATCCAACCCTGGGCAATCCTTTCCAGTTGTTATTCATCCTTATAATTATGAACAGAAACTACCTCATATTTATTGTTATGGCGGCCGTAGTACGAAAATTAAAAGGAAAACAATTTTGTAGCGCAACTCTTTCATGCGTTGGTTTTAAGAGACAAATTCCCAAACAATTTACAGACGGATGTTAATTATATCACCTACCAATAATTTCATTGATTAATTGGGAGTTTTGTTTTAATCACAACTCAGTTGATGTTTTACTATGTCAGCAACTGGTTCACGTCTTCCTTAACTGTTTTTTTTCTAAATTTCTATACTATTCAGTTACATATTAACGTATTTTCGTACAAATCTGAAGGCATGATTGTAAAATACGCAGAATATTGATCACAAATCGGTTCCTTTCATAATGGGTTTGTTTCGTGGTCATTAATCAAAAATCGTCACATAACTTCGCCACTAAATAATCTCTGTCCTCAAGCGCTTCAGCATTGTTTATTTGGTATTCCATTATCCTGATTTCCCTGAAATCGGAAAAAGCAGTATTATTGGTGGTATTATTCTATTACCTAACCTTATCCTTGCCCCTCTGTACCGCAACCGGCTAAATCTGCTAGTGCGCTCCCCCAAATTTTCCCTTCTACTGTGAATTTGCCAGTATCCTCTGTAACTTGTCGATTTACCATATAAAAATTCGTCTAGAAAAATGCGATGAAAGTGTGAAATTTGTGAGACAATGTTCAGAGTAGTTTAGACAATGAATTGAACTGTGCCATTGATATTGACTATCCTCCATGTCACCCAACTTTCATATTTATTGATAATGAGTATTACAAAGAATATGATCAAGAAGATCAAAACTCCTCTACTTAGCTGAAACTGATGGTTACTAACTTTTTGTTCTGATAACACATCTTGATTTCGTCATCTACTAAATTTGTTTAACTCATTTTCGCCTAGCTAGCTTTACCTATCGAGATAAACTATGATTATGTTTGCGTAATACCAATTCAAATTCAATCACTCAGTGATTTATAGCTTCACTAGTTGATTAAGTAGAAAGTAAACTGCTGCATAATTAATCCATCTTTTTGTTTTCGATATTCAATATACAACATTGATATCATAACTCAATACATCGTATAGTTGAAAGTTAAATCTCTGGATTAATCATTTATAGACGTGTTAACACGTATAGTTTTATATACTACTTACCTTCCACATTAAGAGTTATAAAGATCCAGGGACACATTATTTTAAAGATTCCATAGATTATTTAACTTAGGGAAAACTCGTTTGGCAAATCCTATTCATTATAATTAACATAATGTTTATAAAGACATAATAGAAATCTATTCCATATATAGATTGACCATTTATTTCCTAACATATTAAGTGTTAATAAGAAAGAAAAGTGTACCGATTCAATAATTGAATTCATGAGTCAATTGAAGCTAGATCACCATTGAGAACTGGAAAGCACTAAATGACCGTTTCATTCTAGTATGGGATTCCTAAGCAGTGTACATCCATGATCTCTCCTCGTGAGATTCGAACTCAGGACCTATCAGTTTCGCATGCGAACGCCTAATCTGTAGACCCCTGAGCCATCTGATATCCAACTGTGTTAATGTCTAACCTCAATCAATCTACGAAAATGCGTGACCATCTTCCATTGTACTGAGGTAGAAATCTGTCTCGATCCAACACGAATTAGCTCCACTGGTCAAAGCCTCTCACTAGAATTATTTGAATAACTTTAGTAGTCTGTTCTGTTTGTTTTTTTATTAGTGTTTAATCTATGAATCTATCTTAACTAACATTTATATTATAAGAATCGGACGAAACGGCCATTCAGTGCTTCCAGGTATTCCATAATCGTTTAGCTTCAATTGACTCAATGATGTCAACTATTGAAATATTAGAATTATATATTATTTTATGTCATTCTATATGAATAAGTTACTCAAGATTAGCAATTATTAACACTTGATTTCAATCTTATTTTTAAAAATTCTGATCAGATCAATAATGAATATTCATTCCAGATAATGTGAACCATGTTTAGATCAGAACGAGTCCTCTTTTTTCTTTTTTTTCTTTTTTGTTTTTTATTATTTAGTCAATGTTTCGTTCACATGGTTCATTGCCCAAATCAAAAATTGCTAAACTTCGTAGTCAATTTACACAACAAATAGAAAATGATACTGGTGATCCAGAATAATTAGCATGTATTATTCAATAGTTTAGAAGATATTTTTTATTGTTTTCCTATCTATTCACACACTTTTTATGATATACTTTCGACTTGTTCAACATGTGCTTTAAACTCAATTAATTCTAATGGATTGATCTTGTTTGTAACAAGTTCATATTAGAAATCAATATTGTTGTTGATCAGTAAATCAGACGATCGACAGTTTATATTTTGATGAAATCATCTATATTATCAATGTTACATCATAATTCCATTGTATTAAAGAATAATGATAGTGATATACACACAAATTTAATGATCATTCAATATAAGTAGTATTACAAAACTGTTTATCATTTTTCGTTTGTTTGTTTGTTTTCATGTCAATATGATTCGCATATAGAATTCAAACCTGTTTATTAAAATATTCTATTTCTAATGTTTACTACCTCTTACTAGAGCAATGGACTAATTTAATTTGTTTTTACAGATGACTTTGTTGTTTTTGCTTTTAAAAGATTATGTTACATAAATTTGTACTGAAGTGTTGAAGAGTAAGTACATTGGTCTATGAACAATTCTTCATGGATGTGTTTGTTTTTTTTCTTTTCGCCAAAAAAAAATGACATTGAAGCGGGTGATGAACGACAACAAGTAAAAGAAGAAGAAGAAGAAGAACAAGAGTACATATTTCTATGTTATCGTTTATTTGTAGGTTTTTGTTTACTTTGTGTACAACCAGTATTTTAATTGATGATGTCTTTCAATGATAGTCAGTTGTGTTTTTGTTTTCTTTTCTTTTCTTTATTTCTATGAGATGATCTCTTCATTGAGATGGTCATTTATATTATCATTCTCTTATATTATGATATAATATACAAAATATAATAGATCTTAATATGCAATACATATATATATATATTGATTTATTTTAATAAAAATATTTATCATGTGCCTTCAATGAAACTATTATTTATTTCTAGATAATTTGATTATTATGTGTGAACGGTTCCGTTTCTGTGTGCTGGTTATGGTAGATTGTTTTGTGTGTGCGTGTGTGTGTGTATCTGTTGCATTGTGAAAACTCATAAATCCTATGTATTATCCGCTTTATTGAAATACGCTTTTATTTATATTAATACTACTAATGCTAATGATCATGATAATACAATGCATATGTATATTGTGCAATAAATTTTGTTGATCTGACTTGAGTTTTATTCTTTGGATTAGTTATTCATGTCTACGTCACTTATCGTAGTTACATTAACTTTTTTAACTTCCTCTAAATGTTGAGTTAGAGTATTCATTCATACATACTTATCATCCACTTCACCTCTTTTAACCATATTCTGAATCCTTAGTCTTTCTCATTGTCATTTTATCTTTTTGAGCTATCATGATTTAAAAACTTTAGTTTTGTCACATTTTTGTGCAGTGATCTACACAGATGATAACCTAGATTGATGATTCCGACCGTTGTTGTCACCTAGACGTGATGGTCGAGCTTGCCTATCGTGATGAATCAACCGACCCATACTGGCTAAAACAGTCGTTCCTCAAGGTCATACCATGCCAGACAGGTCGTTTGAAGAGCGGTAAGACTAAAAGCAACAAACCCAAGGTCCGAAGGCGAAGTCGTACTGCTGACTGTACGGAGTTGTGACGGCAGTAAGGTGTTTCCTTCAGACAACCAGCATAACAGCGATGCTGCCTTCTCACAAAGGAAGGGCGAGGTTGGAAAACATTGACCCTAAAAATGCACACCTCGCCTTACCCCACGGATATCCGTCTCCGGCGGTAAGGTCTCAACAAGTACGGAAATAACACGAAAATTACTCACAAAAAGGTCGTTTGTGACCGACCTCAAGCAGTTGTCCCCTGGGCACTGCGGTCACGCTCTCAGGTCACTGAGACCACCTCTAATCCAATTTCCAGAAGAACCCTTTCACACTGTGAGCAACCGGAAAGTGATAACTGCCCTCATACTTCTAACAGCACTCAAGACCACTGACTAAGAACGATGACAGAAGTTTGGATTCAACAATGTTCCTTTGGTTAGCTTATGAATACTTTCATACTAACATTCTGGATAAGGTTGTCCAATAGTTATCGTTTCATATGTGAAGCTTAGTTGTTAGATCGATAAAAACAAACATTTTTTGTCAATAAATTGAATCTGTTAACAGTCTTCCGTTGTTGGGTATTAAAAATATCCGTGTCCGGTAGAGACAGATATCTACCTCATTAAAATGGAAGATGGTTGCGCGATTTCGTGGATTGGTTGAGCTTAGACATTAACATCGTTGGATGATGGCCGGCTCAGTGGTCTAGAGATTAAGAGTTCGCGCGCGGAACTGAACACCTTGCGTTCGAACCTCACGTGGGAGATCATGGATGCGCACTGCTGAGGAGTTCCACAGTAGGACGAGACGTCCATCTAGTGCTTCCAGGTTTTCAACGGTGGTCTAACATCAATCGGTTCATGATCTCAATCAAGAACTTAATAATCTCCACAACTCGTACATTGTTACCTCAATGAAGTTATGATTTGGAGTAAAAGTTGCTGAATTAGTTTAAGATATTAAAAAGAAAACAATATAAGTCTATAAGATCACCAATTGCTCATTTCATTTTTGTTGGAAAACGTTGATGATCAGTAAAATAAAGAAAAATACTTTTAGATATTTAATTGAAATGGACCAATTATTTATGTCACTTAACCATTAAGTATGAAGAATCATTGATTATTTTTTCAGATTTTTATTCCTATATTCGATTGTTCAATTGTCAACTGATGAAATGTCATTACTATAATAGTTTAACTGAATGTACACCAATCCATTCGAATTAAATTTCAATGGTTAACATTTACGTAGGACACATTCCTCTGAACTATTAAGTTAATCTGATTCCATAGGTAAGAGTGTAATTTATGGATGAACCAATCAGATTTACGATAACAAGTTTTCGATTTTGGCACGAAATTTATTCACCTATTTGGCTAAATAGAATTTTGGCATTATAGCTGATGTCCGTTCGTGATGAAAACCATAAATCTAATTTCGAACCTTAACCATCAAGTGTAAATGGAATTCCTTATTCTTCAGACTTTTTTATAACCCTCATTTAGCTTTAGTAAGTAGGTAGACACTTTCAAGGTCACTTTAGAGTGACTTAAAGGTCGTCCATCAATTAGAGTCTCATCGATTCAATATATTAATTATAGTATATCAATCTGACATCGATTGTAGCATTTCTATCCACTTTCAAAATGGACTGACATTTGTAATTAGATGAATTAATATCTTATTGTTTAGTATTCTCAGTAAGAAATAAAATTAAGCTGAAATAATAAAAAAATTTAGGGAATACCTTCAAAATTAGATTTTCAGTCGCTTTACAACCAAACTAACCTTTAATAAAATTTGTATTACCATTTAATTATAATATTAATCTTACAGAAATCATAAAAACTGAATGGTGCAATATACAACTAAATATGAAGTGAATATCGTCAATCAAAGGAATTATTTACTTTAGTTTTGACTCAACAAATTCGCTTGTAATATTCGTTAATTAAACAAAATAATTAAAAAGACTTATCGCAATCATTTTTTTTTACTTCATCTGACCATTGTTTCCATGTAAATTGTATGAAATACTGTTTTGGGAATAAACTTTCACATAAGTGAATGATTCCATCATATATCACTGAACATATCGCCCCTGAATACTCTGGTACGGCCGAGAATGGGGAGTATCCGCTCTCCCTCTTGAAATGCTCTCACATGGCCACGTGCATACAACCACTACCAGGGATGTCCTACTCACTACATGAGTGTTGTTGATGAAATTGACAGGACAAAAAGCGAATGTTCGGCACTTTAACCGAGTTGGTGGACGTGGACAGTCCACCTAGGGTAGTGGGAAAAGCCTCAATCCAAACTGATGGTGCACATGAACTCCAGGGCACTGAGAGAACAATTGGCGTATGGACCAATTATTGGTCACCGTCTACCATGGGACTGCATTTCCTAATGTTGTTCTACTGCCCTGTAGATCGGACGTTCAGGTCGAAGGCTCCAGGTGTAGCTCCTAAGAAAACCACCTGTTTCAGTTTGGGCACCCAGGCAATATCCCATCCCTCACATAGATCGAATGAATAATGTGGTGCATATGTATTTGATACCTCCTTGTACCAATGTTTATGTGTTTATATAAATAACCTAACATGTCTTAAGAATAATAATTCATTTATCCATGTATCTTTATTATATTCTGATATTTAATGATTATGTAATATCTAAAACACGAGAAATTATTTCAGGTATGTAAATCACATGAGTAATTATATTTTCTATGACGGGATTAATTTAATATACAGTTTAAAGTACTCAAATATTGTATGAAGGTAATTCTTAAGGTAAGTTATATGTTTACTTACTTACGCTTGTTACTCCTAATGGAGCATAGGCCACCGACCAGTATTCTCCAACCCACTCTGTCCTGGGCCTTCTTTTCTAGTTCCATCCAAATCATGTTCATTTTTCTCATGTCTATCTCCATTTCCCGGAGTAATGTGTTCTTTGGTCTTCCTCTTCTCCTCCATTGGCCTTGAGGATTCCATGTGAAGGCTTGTCTTGTGATGCGGTTGGGTGCTTTCCTCAATGTGTGTCCTATCCACTTCCAGCGTTTCTTCCTCCGCTGGGATCTGGTTTGTTCTCTCCCACAGTACATTGTTGCTAATAGTGTCTGGCCAACGTATCCGAAGTATTTTGTGTAGACAACTGTTAATAAACACCTGTATTTTCTGAATGATGGCTTTCGCGGTTCTCCAGGTTTCTGCCCCACACAGTAGAACTGTCTTGACATTTGTATTGAAAATCCTAACCTTTGTGATGGTTGACAGTTGCTTTGAGTTCCAGATGTTCCGCAGTTGTAAATAAACCGGATTATTATTATTACTTTTTGATTGTAGCAACATTGGATTTCAAATTTCCCATATTATTCTATTCTCAAGCCTT